CCTCCTCCTCCTGAGTCCCCCGCTGGTCGGGTTGGACGAAACGGGTCGGAGATCTGACCCAGGTCAATCAATAGGGGACCAGACAATGACATAAACATACAAACTCGGAGGTCTGCGCGGATTTCTCAGATCCGCGCTGGGGCCCCCTGGCGGCGCCTCCAGCGCCGCTCCTGGCGCGCTCCACGCGCCAGGCAGGGGGTCCAGCGCCGATCCGAGAAATCCGCTCGGACCTCCGAGTTTTTATGTTTGTGTCATTGCTTGTTTCCCTACTGCTGACCCGTGTCAATCCAGACCTGGGTCAGTCAGGCCTTTCAGACGCCTGCAAGATCCTGCACCCTAGCCCGGGTCAGTGCGAAGCTTCGACCCCATCCTTCCGGACCCCATCTACGAGGCTTCTAATCCGTTCGCCGAGTCCATGAGAGATGCGTCGGATGTTCGTAAGTCTACGAACATCCTACGTATGACCCCACGAGGACATTGAATTCTGGGGCAAGTCAACCCTGTAGTCCATCCCGTGTTCGAACCGCTTCGCTGGGGAAGCCCCCTTGCCGGTCGGGTCGGACGACGGGAGGGGGCCACCGGGGAAGGGCAACTGTCGGGGGCAACGCTCGGGGGAGCTAGGCTCGGGGGCGGGGCGCATCGGCCCCCAATCGCCTACTCGTCGCCAGGCCCGGTACACGCTGGTCGTTGAAAGCAGGTATTTCTGGACTCCCAGGTCCCAAGCCACTTCAAGCGCGTGCCTACTTCAAATACCGATGTGCTCTAGCTGTGTTTTCTTATTGTGAAGGCCTGACGGCCGGTGCCGCCGACCCTGAAAGAAATCGACGACGACTAGGAGGAGGAGGAGGAGGAGGAGGAGGAGGAGGAGGAGGAGGAGGAGGAGGAGGAGGAGGAGGAGGAGGAGGAAGAGGCGGAGATAAGGAGGAGGAGGAGCAGGAGAAGGAGGAGGAAAAGGACTCCCCCTGGGACCCCCCCCCAGGGAGGAGGTCCGGAGGAGGACCGGCGTGGGAGAGGGGAGGGGAGGGGGAGGAGGACCCCCAGGGACAGATGCGTATCTGACTCCGCTCCCCCCCCTGGGGCTCCTCTCTACCTGGGGAGGAGGACCCGAGGAGGACCGGCGCGCCGGACAAGGACCGGCGTGGGAGAGGAGGACCCCCAGAGGCGATGCGAATCTGACCCCCCCCCCGTGAACGCCCTTCCCCCCGCCGAGGAAGGGACAACGGGAAGGGGCTTACTTTTGACGTAATGAGGAGGTGTATGGAATTCCCTCAAGCTGCGAACCCGTTCCCCGAACGAAAAGGGGTGTTCTCTCTCTCTTTTTTTTTTGTTTTCTCTCTCTCTCTCTCTCTTTCCCCCGACGGGAGAGGAGGATGGATAGGAGGGGACGAAGGGAGGCTCCCCGTCGACGGGACCGGGCAGACACCCCACATACGCCGACAGTGTCGGCGGTACTTCATGTTTTTCTGGTTTTACCTACTTTGTTTCGACCGCGTTGTAGTCCACCCAGCCTGGGAGCGTGCGCATCCATCCTCGGGGGCCTCTCGCCGATGCATCGGCGATGCATCGCCGATTCCAGGTCGATATTACCCCCAGTCCCCTGAGGTGGCCCGCCTCCCCCCATCGTTGCCCCTCAAGGAGGGGAATTTCAGGAAAGGGCGAAAGAGGGGCTCGAGTTTGGGGTGTCTCTGTATCCTGTATCGTTTTCGCTGGTTCGGGGATCCCTCCGGCCTCGGTGCGCTCTCTCCGGCAGCCTGCGCCTCGCCGCGAGCGTTCCAGTAGTAGGAGTACCGCTGTCCGAGGGGCCGCCGGGCAGACTCGACTTTTCGGGCCCAGACGGGGCCAGACGACGAGGATCCTTCGGGACGGATGGGTGGGTGGGGGGACTGGGAAAGGTGATGGGCCGCTTCTCCACCACCACTACCATAGGTAGGAGAGAAGGAGGAGGAGGAGGAGGAGGAGGAGGAGGAGGAGGAGGAGGAGGAGGCGCAGGAGGAGGAGTAGGAGGATAAGAGTAGAGCAACACAGGAGGAGGAAGGAGGAGGGAGGAGGAGAGGAGGGCGTAGTAGTAGGAGTATGAGGCTGATGGCTTCTTCGCCGCGGATTAATAGAGGAGGAGGACCTCCTCATCCTCCTGTCTCCCCCGTCCTGCCTATGCTAGCGGTGGTGGGAAATCGGCCCATCAAAACGGGAGGGGGGGGGGGCGAAGCCAGCTGCGTGCGGCTGGCCTCGGGGCCCTGCCGCCGAGCGCTCCTCTCGGTGCCCCGGGTGCCTCCCCGCAAGAAACACAAGACTTGCGGGAAGCTGGCCGCGTGGGGTCGGCGTTATGAGACATCGGCACGTCGGGGTGTGGCCTCCTGCTCGGCCTCCGAGTGCCCTGGTGTCTGGGCGCCGTGGGACGCTTTCACGGTGGGACCTCGCGGATCGATTTGGCCGGACAACCGCTGCGCGCATCCGAGTTCTCAGCGAACTCGCAGACATAGACATGTGTAACTACTGTTCTCTGGGTCCATGATGGTCTGCTTGCGTGGACTGGGGATTGTGCGGAGCCTCGCTGCAGAGTGTGAGCGTGATCCCGCAAAGGAAGATGGAGCCGAGGGCTCCAACCGTGATCTCGTCACGAGGTCGGGTGCTGGCTGGTGCGCTCGCTGCCTCGCGGGGCCCCTCTCGGCGGCCCCACCGGACCAGCTCTCCACACTGCCCTGGCGAGCTTCGTGAGCCCGTTGGGCCGCCAGCTCGGCGGCCGCGTGAGCTAAGACGAGGGTCGGGCTCGGGAGTCCTCTCTCGAGGGTGGTGCAGTGGGGTCGCATATGGTTTCTGCCAGGGTACCCTGGGTTTCTCCCCTCTGCGCGCTGCGCGGTGGCTTCCCGCAGCCGTCGAAGAAGCTGCTGCGTTCAGGGTGCTCTGGGTTTCTTTCAGGCGCGCCCCGCGCGCGGGCTCTCGGGGTTGGGTTTCTTGCGAGGGCTTCCCGTGGCCGCGCCCGCACTGCAAGGAAAAGCTCCCACGGCTCTGCGGCCATTTGTGAGCCCTCCCCCTGCGGGTCCGGTCGGCGCTGGGGCGTCAACCACCCGCTGTTGGGGCTCCCTTGGCCCCGAGCATCCTTCGGACTCTGGCGCCCTCAGCGTTCGAATGGTGGGCCTGCTTTCCAACGCCACCACCATAAGCTGGATGGGGGGAAGGAGGAGGAGGACGGGAGGAGGAGGACAAAGAGGAGGAGGAGGACGAAGAGGAGGAGGAGGAGGAGGAGGAGGAGGAGGAGGACGAAGAGGAGGAGGAGGAGGAGGAGGAGGAGGCGGACCCCCTCCCCCTCCAACTTGTGGTGGTGGTGGAAAACAGGCCCACCATCAATGACTCCGCCCTGCAGGGGCTGGCGCTCGGGTGCCCTGGCTGCCGGGCCTCCACAGGCTGATTCCCTGAGTTCCGACTTCTCGAGCAGAAAGCACCTGGACACGGTCACGTTGAAAAGAGGAGCCCCATACCCCATCTTCAGGAGGGGAAACACACACAGACACCATAAATCATCGATTCCCAGGAACATATGGGAAAATATGGGAAGCGGGGTGGGGGAGACAACAACCCAGAAAATATGGGAAACTATGGGGAATCCTGTTTTGTGTGTGTGTATATTTATCAAGCCAGCTCTAAGGCCAGATAGGTTCGTGAGGGCGCTGCGGCCCGAAATGGGGCGAGATCGCCCGGCGTGAGCAGTTTGGGGCGTCCAGACATTTGGGTCTTTGGCTCACATGAGCGACGCACAAGAAAGGGGGTCGTCTGCGCCGACATTCACGCGTCAGGTCGTGCGTGAGCGCCCTCGTCGCCAATTGCAGCATGCCTCGCTGGCGGCCCTCGCAAGCCACCGCGCAAGATCGCTACGTCATCTCGCGTCAGACCCGTTTTGGATTGTCGCTCGCATGGCCTCAGCCGAGGTCCACCAGCGCCTGGGCCGAGGCCGGGCCTCCCTCTTGAGCCCGCAGGGCCCTCGTTGGACGCGGCAGCCTCGCATGCAGGCCGGGAGCCGAGGGCCACTGCGGTCTTCGGCCGGGGCCTCCTCCTCCTCCTCCTCATCCTCTTTCTCCTCCTCCTCCTCCTCCTCCCCATTCCTCCTCCTCCTCCTCCTCCTCCTCCTCCTCCTCCTCCTCCTCCCCCCTCCTCCCTAGCACCTCATCCTCCTCCTCCTCCTCCTCCCTCCTCCTCCTCCTCCTCCTCCTCCTCCTCCTCCTCCTCCTCCTCCTCCTCCTCCTCCTCCTGGGGGGATAGTCAGAGGAGGAACAGGTACCCATACCTCTACCCTCTCCCCTCGTTTTCCCTTTTTTGGGCCGCCTCGGAGGCCCTCGTCGCCACCGCTCGATTCGCCTCGAGATCCTGGTCAGGGCGCACCCCGGGAGAGGTCTGGGGAGCAGCGGCATCGGTGCCTTCTGGTTTCCCCAGAGGAGGGCCAGTGGAGACAACGGTTGTTGGCCTGCGGGTGGGCCCCTTGTCGCCACGGCTGGACGCAGCGCGGGGAGCTTGTGCGTTCGGATCCGGGAGGGGTCCGACGACCGTTCTCGAGCCGTCGTTGTTGCAACTCGCAGTCCTCCGACTGGTGTGTCCTCCAACTCGTGTTCCTCCTCCTCCTCCTCCTCCTCCTCCTCCTCCTCCTCCTCCTCCTCCACGGCGGGGCCTCCATCAGGCGATCGCGAACCTGGATCAAGGGGGCGTGGATTCGCGACGGGTCCCGCTTTTCCGTGGGAAGTCGCGGGCTCTGCCGCCGGGCGAGGCGGCACGGGCCGCATTCTGGGGAGGTGCCCATGGATTTGGCGACCGCGCGCCAAATCCATGGATCGCTCATCCATGCTTGCGCGCCCCCGGCTCCAGAGTTCCAGTCCTGGGCCCTTCAGGGCCTCGGTTGCCGTGGCCTCGCGGCGTGGCTGGGGGCCGAAGTCCGCGATGGCTGTGGGCCGAGGCCAGCCAGTGCGGGAAGGCTCCGCGGCTGCCATGTGCGTGGCTGATGTGGCTCTCCTCAGTTCGGATGCAACTCCTGGGAGGTCAAATTCTGATTTTGCCCAGGTCCGAAGTCCGGCTTAATTTGGTTTAATCTGGTTTAATGCCGCTCAATCCGGCTTAATCCCGCTTAATTCCGCTTAATCCGGCTTAATCCTGCTTAGTCCGAGGCCCACTCCGGCGTAACAGCTCCCAAATGGGGCTTACACCTCCTGTAATCTTTCCGACGAGAACCTCCCAGTAGTTGCCTCCTAAGCTTCAGTGTGTCAGGTGGACAACTTCATCTCCAATTCGAGAGGCCGACGCCCACCTGCCGCGACAGGGTCCAGCAGCCTCCTCGTGCGGCCGCCCGGTGTCGTCCCCGGGGCAGCCCAAGGAACCGAGAGCCAGCGTTCTAAAGACGATTCGCACGACGTGCGCCTAAGAAATATGCCGACAAACACACACACACACACACACACACACACACACACACACACACACACACACACACACACACACACACACACACACACACACACACACACACACACACACACACACACCACACCACACACACACACACACACACACACACACCACACCACACCACACCACACCACACCACACACACACACACACACACACACACACACACACACACACACACACACACACACACACACACACACACACACACACACACACACACACACACACATTTCAACAACATATGCTATAGTCGGGGCCCTGAAGAAGGAACCCTTTTCGTTGGGGAGGGGCTCCGTTTTCCTCAAGTGTTTCGCAGGTTGCCTCAGGTTTCCTTTGTGTTTTCGATCGGAAATCGAAGTTTAACTTTTGAAAAAAGGGGCCTCGTTCCTTATGTGGGGTTCCTTAGGTCAAGGCCCCGACTGTATGCCAACACGCACACACACAGTTCAACAACATGTACGATAAGTGCAGCCAGGACGATACATCAAGGACCACTTGGGGCTCAGGAGGGGCTCTCTGGTCTTCGGACCGCTCGTTGGATCTAGGTCGGGGGAACGATTCGTGGCTCAGTCTCGTCGTGGCAGAAAGCGTGCCTTCGTTCCTTGTTCTGCGCTCCTCCTGGTATCGGGCCGGGCGAAAGGGGGAATTGGGAAAGGGGGGGTTACGAAACTTGCTGCATGCAGCTGGTTTCGGCTTCACCGAGGGGCCCATTCCTCGATACTTAGCCGCCTCTGGCGCCGGGAGGCGCCGGGAAAATCAGCTACGCGAGCTGATTCTCAACCCCCCCCCTTTGCTATCCCCCCCTTTCGCCCGACCCGATGGTAGCACGGTGCACACTCATACGTTGATGAAGGCAGCGTGTCTGTGTGTGTTGGAAAGGCTTCACGTGCGATCGTGGGTCAGAAGCGGATTGCGTCTGCTCCGTTGGAGCGTGAGCTTGCGCCAGCACGGCGCTCCTGGGGAAACCCCGCGGGAGCGGCGGGCGCCTGCTGCGGCGCTGACCCACTCTGCATGGGGAGGCACAGTGCGGGTATGGTTGGCGTTGTGCAATGCGTTGGTGGTTGGCATGGTATGGTATATACATATAACGGCGCACCGGGTCCGGGGGCCCGGGGCCGGGACCTCGACCACAAATGTGGGCTCCGGGGGGTCCGGAGGCTCGTCGGACCGCCGGACGCCGTCCAAGATCGTTCGCAGGCGGCTTCGGAACGCGCTCCGATGGCTCCAGATGCCTTCCAAGACGCCCGTCATGACACCAAGAAGGTCCCAGAAGCCTCCAAGACGCTCCGAGAGGCAGCCCAAGAGACGCCCAAGAAGCAAACATCGTGCCATTCCTATTGGAAAACGTATATTTTTCGCATGTTCGCCTCTTGGGCTTTCACCGCGTCCAAGACGGCCCAAGAGGCGCCCAAGACGGTCTACGAGGCCTCCGGGAGCGCTCCAAGGCTGCGCACGAGTGGCCCAGGACGGCCCCAAGACGGCCGAAGAGAGCCCCAAGACGAGTTCGAGAGGGGTCCCAGACGGAGAAAGCCAACCTCGAATTCCGAGCTTCCGGCCCAAGAGGCTCCAGGAGGCGCCAAAATGCCGCCCAGAGGCGCCAAAAGGCTCCCAAAAGCACCCCAAGACGTTCCGAGAGGCACCCCAAGAGAGGTCCAAGAAACAAAAATCGTGCCATTCCCATGGGAAAACGTATATTTTTCGCATGTTCGCATCTTGGGCTTTCACCGCGTCCAAGACGGCCCAAGAGGCCTCCAAGACGGCCTAGGAGGCCTCCGGGAGCGCTCCAAGGCTGCGCACGAGTGGCTCAGGACGGCCCCAAGACGGCCCAAGAGAACCCCAAGACGACTTCGAGAGGGGTCCCAGAAGGAGAAAGCCACCCTCGAATTCCGAGCTTCCGGCCCAACATATCCCAGGAGGCGCCAAAACGCCGCCCAGAGGCGCCAAAAGGCTTCCAAAATCAGCCCAAGACGTTCCGAGAGGCACCCCAAGAGAGGTCCAAGAAACAAAAATCGTGCCATTCCCATGGGAAAACGTATATTTTTCGCATGTTCGCATCTTGGGCTTTCACCGCGTCCAAGACGGCCCAAGAGGCCTCCAAGACCGCCCCAAGACGGCCCAAGAAGCTTCCAAGAGGGCCCCAGGACAGCCCAAGAGGGCCCCAAGACGGCCCAAGAGGCGCCCAAGATGGCCCAAGAGGGCCCCAAGACGGGCCCAAGAGGGGGCCCAGAGGGGGACCACGAACCGCAAGCTCGAGCCTTCCGCCCCAAGAGGCCGCCAGGAGGCCCCAAGGAGGCCCCTCAAGAGGCCCCAGGAGACCCCCAAGAGGCCCAAAGGAGGCCCCGAGAAGCCCCAAATCGGCCCCCAAAATGCTTCGAACCTGCTTCCAGGAGGCCCCCGACAGGTTCAGAGGCTCCCGAGAAGCTACGTCAAACTCCCAGCGAGCGGCCGGACGAGGCCCCCCACAAAATCACAAGAGGGTTCCAGTATTTGTATCCTTCAGCGCTCTCTGGCCTTCTTCCCCCTGCCCCCTTCCCTGTGACTTTCGTTAACTCCTGCTCGCCCCCTAGCTAGAACCTAAGCGCGCGCGAAGCACGCGCGTGGTTCTAGTATATATATATGTATATATATATACACATATACATCTGGGTGCAGGGGTGTATCTCTGATTGTATACAGACAAGCCATGTAAAGGCATGGTAGCCGGCGTGGACCCCACACAGTGTGTTTCTAGCAGCACGGGTGGTACAGGCCATGTGGGGCAACCTATGTGATGCAATCTAGGTGGTGCAGTCCATGTGTGCGCAATTTCTGTGGGGCAATCGACGTGGTGCAAAATGTGTTCTGCCGCATATGGTTTGCAACTTAGGTGGTGTACTCTGGGTGGTGCAATTAATTTCTGTTCGCAGTGAGTTGTCCACTCCACTGCTCAAGCAAGCATCCCACCCACCCACCCGCAACTTGATTTGCACATCCTCTTAAGACCGTGACGGTAGGAACCAAAAAGCACTCTGCAGCGACACCGACGCCGACGACGACAGCGACAACGATGACTACGCCGACAACGACTACGACGACACCGACGACGTCCCCAACGACTTCGACGACGCCGACAACGACTTCGACGACGCCGACGACGACGACACCGACGCCGACGACGACGACGCCGACGCCGACGACGACGACGGCGATGCCAATCACGACGACGACGACGCCGACGACGACGACGACGACAGCGAAGACGACGACAGCTAAGACGACGACGTTGCCAACGACGACGACGAGGGAGGAGGGAGGACGACGACGGCGGCAACGACGACAACGACGTGGGAGGAGGGAGGACGGCGACGACGCGAACGACGAAGGAGGGAGAACGGCGACGCCGACGACGACAACGACGAGGGAGGAGGGAAGACGACGACGACGATGACGACGACGAACACGGCGACCAAACAAAAGGGGCAACGACCAAACGCCGACGAAGACGACAAGGGAGGAGAGACGACCACGGCGACAACGACGACGGAAACGACGACGACGCCAAGACGACGACGACGACGACGACGACGACGACGAGGAAAGACGGACGACGACGACGGCGACGACGACGACAACGACGACGAGGGAGGATGGAGGACGGCGACGACGACGACGACGCGAGAGCGCGCGCGCACGCTTTTGTTGAAAACCCGTGTTGCGAAACCTTGTGTTTTGGTATGTTTTTGTGGACACTCGATTTTGAAACCCTTCCGAAACCGAAGGTTTTTGAAGGATCTCGGCATGCGCGCGCGACGACGCGCGCGTGCGCAGTTCGTCTAATTTTTCTGCAGAGTACTATCGCGACGGCACGTGCGCAAGGGCGTTCGAAAGATTTCGACATGCGCGCGCGCGAAGCCCGTTTTGTAGGATTTCTGGAAACATTTGAAACGCCGACGGCTTCCTTAAGATTTCGCAAGAGCGCGCGCATACGTTTTTTGATATCAACTCAGTGTTGCGAAACCATGTTTTTGTATGTTCTTAGGAAACTCGATGTTGAAATTCTTCCGACATCGAAGGATTGTTGGGGGATGTTGGCATGCGCGCGCGACGACGCGCGCGTGCATTTCGTCATTGTTTTGCAAGGGATTCCTTAACACTTCTGGTGTTTGGTAAACGAGGGTGCGCGCATACGGTTTTTCGCAGAGGATGGCGGGGGAGTGGTACCGTTTTGACTGGGATAATATGATTCATATTTCATGTGGACAATGGGGCAGCATCAGATGCAAATTGCAATACGAAGAGGCGTCCCGTTAATTCCTGGTGGGGGTAGAGTCTGTTCTTTTTAAGAAAGGGGAACCGACGTGGTACAATCTACGTGGTGCGATCTACGTGGTGCAGCGCGCTGAGTAATCTATTTCGTGCAATCACTGTGGAGCGTGGTGCGATCGGTGTGGTGCAATTCGCCAGTGCTCGCAATGAGTTGTCAACTCCACTGCTCGCGCAATCGTTCCAGCAGTGGCGAAGCGTCCTCGC